GTTTGATGTATTCAAGCTCACCGTCTTCTCAGTTTTGCCCGGAAACATTTCAATATTCATACTTGATTCGATTGAGCAGAATTTTATCTTTCTAAAAATGAAAATATTGCTTGAAAATTCTCACTCCTCGGGGAGATATAGCAATTTTTGTGGGTTTGAAACATTCAAGCCTACCGTACCCTCAGCTTTGCCCGGTAACATGTGGATTTTTTTGCTTCGTATGATCCAGCTGAATCTCTGGATTCAGAATAGTATATATTTTTCCTACTATTACTCTTACTCTTATTCTTATTCTTATCCTTATCCTTATTCTTATTATTATTCATTATTATTATTTATTTATTATTTATTATTATTTATTGTTATTGCTGTTATTATTATTATCGTTATCATTATTGTTATCATTATTGTTATCACTATTGTTATTATTATTATTGTTATTATTATTGTTCTGAATCTAGAGGTTCTAAGGAATCGAATGGTTTACGGAAATTTAAATGTTACTGAGCAAACCTGAAAGTACGGTAGCATGAAGATGTTAACCCCTATAGCGCCATAGTATCGTTTAGATTGATCTATAGTGAACAATGTATGTGATTGAGCGCGACTGAGCTGGTTGAGATAGCATTGGGAAAAGAGCTATTATATCTCCTCACGAAAGCAGAATTGCTCAGCAAAACATGTTTTCCGAATCTAAAGATTCCGCTGGATCGGATGGTGTGCAGAAATTTATACGTTACCAGGCAAACCTGACGGTACAGTAGGGTTGAAGGTGATAACCCCTATAGCGTTGAGATAGCATTAAGAAAACAGCTATATCTGCTCACGTGAGCATAATTGCTCAGCAAAGTTCATTTTATTCTGAATCTAGAGGTTCTGAGAAATCGAATGATGTACAGAATTTGCCATTGACCTATTCTTCATTTAAGGTAAATTAATTATATTCGTAATATGAAACCAAACTACACCCAGTTGTTGTGTAGTATTTATCATTAATTTATTTCTCTTTGCATAGATCGCAATCATCTGCAAGCATGATTATTTACTCAAACTGAATTAATTTTAGGTAAAATGCTTCTCCTTATTCCAGAAAGTAATGTTGATATGCGGGGAGAGCTGTGGCACAATGTCTTCATGCATTGATGGCTGATGCGTGTTAGACCACACCCCCTTTATCCTTGACCTGAACTGCAGGATTACCAACGATAAGAATCCATTCGGGCAATTCTGTTTAGCGGATCTGGATTCGGACAGATTTTCGAGGATTTTCAGTTAGGAGGCAGTAACTAATGGATGTGATTTACGACGTTGTTGAGGGTATCTTTAGCCGTCTTTTTTTGCATATACTCATTTCTTTTTGAAAATACCGTTTCATTTTCCATTCATTCATTCTTCTCCGTCAATATTGATTATTCCCATTGAAACTGAATTGTTTTCGATTCATTGTTCTCAAGCAGTCGCACGATGACACGGTTTCGGAGGATGAAACGGCGCTTTAGATCACTGAAATACTTTAGCGCCGTCGTTTTCAAATAACTCAGTTGTGATAAATTTTAACTCATCGAACCTTATAAACCATCAGATATCTACCAATCACTACATTAATGAGTTTTCATGATGCTCGAATGGATGATTGTTATAGTTTTGCATGGAATTCAACATATAAAGGATACAAGTATTTTTGTTTTATTCTTTTGTATGTAAACGATATCGTTCCAGGCGTGCATGTATTTATTCCAGTTGTTGCCGTCGTTTTCATTGCGATCACTCTGTTTTTATGTGGTCCCGAAAAGAAAGACGAGCAAAATGTTTCATCAAATACTCATTTGATAAAGGGTAAATGACCGATTGAAGAAGTTCTTGAATAAAATCAGAGAATAGACACAGCGCCCTTTCTTCTTCAGCGCTTTTTCACTCCCAATCATTCAAACTTGATTGATTCAAACTTGATTCTGACATCGAAATATCGAAAACTTTTCAACACCGGAATATCGAAAATTTAAGTGAGTTTATCTGCTTATTCTGACAGCAGAACATTTCAGCCAGAATTTATTGCACTGTGATGCAGTGGTGATTCCTTTTCCACTTATCGTTTCATTTCAGATTCCTCTTCGTCATTTTCACTGAACGAAAACAACGATCGAAAAGACAAGAGTGACTGAAAAAGCAAAGAATTCTGATAACGAAATGCAGATTTTAAAATATCTAAAGAGAGCAGTACTCAATGCACATTCAAATTCCATTGTTCATACGCATAGCTCCCCAACATCCCAACAATGCGCTTGTACAAAATTCTGCATCTTATGCGACGTGCTCCGATCACATCTTATTTTGACACCTAAGAAACGAAGAACTTATCGGAACCTACTGTAGAAGATAACGTTCAAATGACTCTTCATATCCCTTTCCTCAATTGATCTCATTCTTAAGTTTTTTAAAATGTACTGAAAAACAATCAATAAAATATATTCAGTTGCAATGATGATTTTTGTGAGCATTCACTGTCGTTATTATTAATCACTCTGATCAACTAATTATTTTAATAATGATGGCATGGCGACTTATTAGTTATTTGAATTGTTGTTATTCAGGAACGTTAAGTTTCGTATTTTTATAGTTTATAAAATCATACTGAACATATAAACGTTAAAAGTTATGAAATTACCAATCATGCGACAATAATAATGCATTTCACTTGAATACTATGCAATTAATTTTTTGCTTGAAAACTCTTCAGAAATAATTTGTGAAAAATGCGAATATATCATGCTAAAAAATGTACACGTAAGTATGATACGATGAGATGTACAAATGAAAGAAAATTCTTCAATTGAACAAAATTTGGGAGTAAGACAACTGAATGAGCCAAACGAAATACTAATCATTAAAATGCAATAAATATTACAAAAATTATCGACTTTGACCGACTAGAAAGAAATGATAAATTGAAATGGTGAGTTAGAAGTGAATTTTCTTCAGAACTACGTGTTTGTTGCTTGTTTCGGAAGCGGTGGAAGCGTTGCAGTTCGCATTAAGGTAAAGATAAATGGAAGCTCTAATTTCAAACTTTCCAATTCAAAATTTTCTATCGATTTTCTTTCTCCAAATAATGAGCTTCTTTTTTTCATTCCAGATACTGCGTGCTATTTTTGACTCACCGTCTACGTACATAACAAAATGAGGAGTAAAAATCTGATAATGGTAAAACCTGAAAAAGAAATTCAAAAAAACGATCAATTACACGTTACATCCATCGGTTTTTTTGATGTTCTTACGGCAATAGAAACAAAACAAATAATCACAGTCAAACCATATCAATAACAAGTAACTGAAGTTCGTGCAAATAAATATAAAAATTCAATAAAAAGAAAAAAATGTACTAGATAAAATAGTGTTTATTCTTAATATATGGAATATTAGCAACAAAAAATCTTGGTTCATAATTAATAATATTCAGTGGAACAGCCAGACTAGTATTCCATACAGGTGATATATGTCATCACTCTCACCCCTTTGACCGTACGGCAGACCGAACGACATATCAAAAAATAAATACAATGAATGAAGTTTACTGCTGCGGATTCGCTGATAAAATCAAATGAATTATTTCACTGTGATTAAAGATGTTTTTTGAAAATACTGTAGAAAAACGGTCAATGAATATCTTCTGGATTTCTGCTGACATCTCAAATCCCCTCCTTCCCTACAGCAATCACTGCTTTCTACCATCAAAGAAACAAATGCACGAACAAAATGTGATAATAACAGTTACGATAACTGACTGCAAATTGTCGATTGCACGAAACGTGCAAATTCACCACCATCTTCTGCGGTTGCATATCGAATGAAGAATTCGTGATTGCTCAACGTTTTAAGATTTGCTCTTTCGATTGGATTTTTCTTCACACATTTTTCAACGAAATCCACAAACGCATCCGTGAATATCTTCTTCGGTAAAACTGGAGGGGGCTTAAAATTGAAAATTTGTTGAGATTGGGCCGATTAAATGAGAACATAGGCGAGAATAAGCCGGAAATTAATCAATCTTAAAATGAGAATTAAAATAAAACACATCATCACCTCATTGACGATGTAATCTAATAGCTCGAAGATGGCCATTGTTTTCGGTGTTGAAACATCGGTGTTGTTGTTATTGTTGAGTGATGAAGGTGTGTTATTATTATTATTATTATTATTATTACCAGACAACTGTATTTCATCTTCGCGAATGTCAAAGATAATTGAATAATCACGTTTTGTTAATGCTGGTATTGGATAACGACCAATTGACAGTTCAACTAACGATAATCCAAAACTCCATACATCTGATTGAACATTATAATGACTACCTGTTAATCGTTCTGGCTGCAATAATAACACTAATAAAAATATCAATTAAAAACGCATTATCGTACAATAGCCATTTCAATTCCTCGAAGGATAAGCACTTGCGTGGATTAATTTTAATTCTGATGCTAATAAAACAGCAAAGATAACAATGATAATAACAAAGGATAATAGTAACAAGAATAATATCATACATAACCAAAAGATAATCACAGCAATTTTTACATGACGAATATAACTGGGAGAATATTTTGCAAATGTGAAACTCACAGCCATATATGATCGAGTCCCGACAAAACTATTTGCCATACTATCAATAAGCATCCCAGAAACACCAAAATCGCACAACTTGATTTCTCCACGCGAATTGACAAGTATGTTTGATGGTTTCACATCTCAACAAATACTATGATCATCACTACTTGAATTATATCATATAATAATAATGAACATTCCAGCTGAGCAATTCGTATAGACAAAGGGAGACGCTTGGCACAGCATGTACCAATTTACCCAGGTAATTTTAGAAATGGAATAAGGGCAGTTCTTCATTCGAAATTCACCTCGATGAAGGATTTTATGTTCATCTTTCAAATAAGATAAACCCCTGATCACTGCTACTGCGATGCGTCCAACGAGAGGTTCCGTTAAACGACCAACCTAAAATGGATGACATCTCTTATCAACAGCGACAATGATTCAACCATACGATATACTGAAAACGGCTTACCTTTTTCATGATAACATCCAGTGATAAACCATCCATGTATTCCATACATATCGATATATCATTATTGTCCGTGAACGCTCCATAGAAACCAACTATGTATGGACTATTACATTTATTCAAAACGTCCAATTCCTAGTTCGATAAGGAATAAATTTACTTTTGCACTTCATAAAAATGAAACATTTTGAAGAAAGAAAGAAAACAGAACAATCTGATAATGTGCGGAACGATAACCTTTAAAATTTGCGATCGAACAGAAGGCTTAACTTCAAGATGTACCAATTTTCTAGCCATGATAACTTTACTTGGTTTATGCATGACTTTATGCACAACACCACCATTGCCATGGCCTAATTCGCACATCTTTTCCAGCATTTCTTCATTCAATTCACTTAATGGTACCTTAATCACATATCACTGACACGTAACTTTTTTGTCTCTGATACTTTCAAACGAATTTCAAGTAAACACATCTACCTGATAAGCGAAACAACCAAACAAAATGGGTGGGCCATGCACTACTCATGAAAACTTCGTTGTAATGAAACAAAAGAACGAGAAAAATTTGACATGCGATGATTCATTCATTTTTTTGAAAGAAAATTCAATAAAACGTTTTGACTGAATGAAAATTAACGAAGTTGTACTAAACGAAAAACAAACGAGTTTCTTCTCCTTGATCCACTCTTGCATACGCTGCTTCTGAGGCTCAGTTAGGGCCATCTGCTTGAGTTGCTCGTCTAACGAAAACACTGCATTCTCCTCAACGTTTTCCGTCTTATCATTGTCATTTTCTTTTACGGTCGTTGGGAGACTGAGATTTAGAGGATTTTTTCGACGACTCCCAACGCTTGACATCTATGAATTCCTCTATTTATTCAGTCGCAACAAAACCTCAATTCTACATGTGATATCATCAAAATGTATGTATGACATGAATACTGCTTTGGAATCATAACAAACAATTAAACAGATTTATTTCGAATTAAAAGTTTACTAGAAATACTTAACAGTATTTAAAACAATACCACTAACAAAAATAATAGCAACAATTACAATGATAATCACGCCAGTATATTAGTACCTCGAAAGTTATGAGAATAACGCACCTATTGTTGAATTAATTCATGAAGAAGTTACACTTTTGCAGCAGATCATTGATTTGTATTCGAACAACATAAAGCAAAAACAACCAAGTAAAATCAAACTAGTCATAATACAAATATTGATAATAAAAATAATAGTGATAATGATAATAATGATAATAATAACAATAATAATAAAAAATATTCACGATTCACTGTCGCTAAACGACAGCGATCAGTGCCACTACACAAAGATATTAACAAAATTTAGGTTTACGATAATATGAACTCAAGACCAGTTTTGTGGATGCATAAGAAAGCACAAATTCATTACTGTTGAATAATTGAAGTATCATGACGTAAAAATAAATAAACGGCGGCAAAGTGATGATCATTTCGATATTACTAATACTAACTAATAATGATAGTTAATAACTTTAGTTTTTATGCTAGGCAGTGTTCCGTGTAAACTGTCATCAGATGTGGATGAAGGTATTATTATAATCACGATAATAATAATAATAATAATAACAATAATAATAACAGTAATAATAATAATAATAATAATTTGTATTGATGAGTGGAATACTTCATTCATGTTTGTTTTCCGCAAGCATATCTATATATTTGAGTGTGTAAATGTGAACAGAGTTACACTGTTGTATCTTCATCCCGCTGTGCATGTCGCATCAACGCAATTGTGAGAATGTAACGTTTTGGAAATAAAATATGCAAAATATTCTTTCTGAAATACAACTGTCGATTACGCGAAATTTAATTGTTTTGTGAGCGGAGCGGAAGCGGCAATCATGTCCCCTGGGAAATTTGCTGATTATTTCTATTGTTTATGAGTCGTTAATGGATCATATCATTTCTGTACCATTTATTACCGATAACACAATTTTGCTCGAACTTCCTTTCGTCGAAATTAAAGTTTTGAAGTAACGCAACGAAAAATTGCGTCGATATTTCAGGAAATCAAACTGTAACATTTTTACTTACGTACTACAGTCATGAATTCGCAGAAATCATCGCCGAACTGGTGTCCAAAAGACATTACAAGTAGTCAAATAATGCTGTACTTAAACGGAATCATCAAACTATGAATGCCTATTTAGTTCATAATAAGATTCAAATACTTCTTGTAAGACGACTGCAGTAAAAAGCACCGAAATTTTATCACCTATGTTCTTCATAGAAGTCGCATTTGTTTGCTTATTCATTCACTCGGCTAAATAAGGTACATGCACTACAGTACTAATAATATATTCGCACAATTTTGGTACATAAGTATTTGTAAATTGACAGACTCATTGATAAAAATGATAATACAATACAAAAACTGCACTGAGCAGCGAATCATGTTCAGTTAAATGAGATTAATCACAACTACACGTTAAAACTGCGACATAGCCAATTTTCGAAAATCTTAGCAATAAAAAAAGACTGATTCATCGCTCAATTCGGATTCAGATCCCAAACATTTTTCCACAGCTGCATGATGAATTAGTCAATCGGAATTTGCCGGGTCTAAGCCATGCAGTAAATTAATGCCAATCGGTATAATAAGAAATTGGCAAATGCAGTATGTAATCGCATTTTTATTGCCTCATGTAAACATTGATATGAGGTTGTTATTGATAGGTGACGACTGCGCTGCATGCACGCCTAGGGACAATGAAAGGAGAGAAGCGTTTGGCACGGATTAGCAACGTTCCAAAACTAGGGTACTGCACCTCCTGATATCATTCGGACAAGCTTTAGCTTCACCTGCTTGTTCAGGCTAGGCCTTCTGTACAGGCTCATGCATAAGCTTATACTCAGGTTTGTATTTGGTTTTAGCAGCTGGGAACGGGGTAAATTCGTCCGGGTGATTTTTACAAATTACAGCAGTTCTCTCATTACGCCTCACTGCACGCGCGTAATTTGGCAGAGCGCCGTAGAATGCTAATAGATGACTGGCTAGCAGTCGATTCTTAAAATATTGTATTTTGCATTTAGGGGTTTGGCTCAAGCGTGAGACTGAATCGAAAGTGAGTGAAATGTAGTTCAAGAACTAGAATGGGGACCTGTCCTTGTTGACGTATTTCCTTCTCAAAATGCAATATTTCAACAGCGTCGATCACTGTAGGCATCGATCACTGCTTCGCGTTGTGTATGGCCGCTGTGATCGAAAAAGTGATGTTGTACTTCAATTGAAATATTCCGCATTCAATTCAGAAATGGCTCAAGCAGTGTGCTGAGTACTCCGAACGTATTTCTCCAAGTCATATCCTTCTTCGACAACAATCACTCTCTTTCATTTGAGATCGTTTACAATGTCAACAAATTCTGTATGCGTTGGCTGTCTGTGAGCCAACTGCATCACAGCGTCCCGCATGATGCGCTTTGCACAGCGCGCCTAATCGGCTTAAGATGATATTATTAACATAAACTGCTGAATGTGATCCTCTCTGCCACGAATGTATCCATCATTTTTGCAAATTTCTATGTTATTTGAATCACCATTTTTCCATTCATTTAGATAGATATGGTTTAAATACTCACGATCAATAAACTATGTGAAATCATTCATATGTTCCGCATGTTCAGTGTTTTCCGAAATCCTGTCATATCGTCAAAAGAAGGGTAGCGGTGAAATTTTTACTTACGCTAATAGTCAACTCTGGACCGATAATATTTATGAAACATGTGGATACATCAATATTAGAATTAACAGAACTGTAATAAATGATTATTTCTGTAATTTCTGTTACGTATGATTTGAAGATTGATCATTGGTGGTTTACGTTTATTTGGAATTGCTTCTTCATACCGTACTTTATAAAAAATTTTTGTTCATTTCAAATGATCCATTAAGTGAAGTAATTGCAGAAATGAATTAAAAAAGAGACATAAGGGGTAATCGATCGGAATGATGGTGCTCGTAGCGCTACTGCTCCTATTAAGTGATAATTTATTGCCTGTTCAAACCAATGTTGCTATCGTCAGTGAAGGCTATCAGGTAATAGTGTGATTAATCTTTCTTTAAAATCACAAATTGGTTTCATCAAACGGTATAGCATTGTAACTAATAAGTTTCTTCATGTATTGATCTACGAATTTCTCTTCTTGTTAATATATAAATTCTGTTCTGGTTGAGAAGTATTGCAGAAGTGAAGGAGAATGCTGAATGGTTATCGTTTCATTCAGGTGTTGGATTAACTTTCAGCCAAATGTTTGATTTCAGAATGCAGCCGCGAATGAAAAATGTGTACCAATAACAATGCAAATGTGCAAAGATATACCTTATAATATGACATTGTATCCTAATATTCTTGGTCACACGAAAGAAGAAGACGCAGCTCTCGAGGTGCATCAGTTTTTGCCATTGGTGAAGGTAATCTTAATATTTCGTCGAGTAACTCTTTTTTTTCTTCATTAATTCATTCATTATTGACTCCAATTTACCACCCTCCTTCTCACTTATGTATGATCAACGAAATGATTTTAATGATTTTAGAGATGAAAAAACACGGATTCATAAAAAATTGCAAAGTTTCGAAGAAGATTGGAGAAGTGAATATAAAATTCGATTTGGATATGTTTCTGATCCTCATCGTTTAACTCCAACTTAATTGTAGGTGAAGTGCAGTGAAGATCTGAAATTCTTCTTATGCACGATCTACGCACCAGTTTGCACTGTGCTTGGTCGACCCATACCACCTTGTCGCCATTTGTGTTTATCGGCAAAATTAGGTTGTGAAAATTTGATGAATAAGTTCGGTTTTAAATGGCCTCCGTTGCTCGCATGTGAGCGTTTCCCAGTTGATGGGATGTGCGTTGGTGAAAATCGAACTGATTCGAGCACTGAAGCACCACAAGTACATTCTCGTACCACAACATTCACGCAAATGGAATGCCCACATACTATGCAGGTTATATTTGCATTCTATGAAGTTAGATTATAATTTATGATATGATATTTGACTCTGAATATATACTTCACTAATTCACGTCCAAGTGAAAGAAGAAAACATCACTCGATTTGTCATATTCATTTATCGGCACTTTTCATTATTTTCCCTCGTTGCGGTTATCTGATCTTATTAAACAATATTTAGCCATTTCCTCATTTCACTCAGTTTTTATGTTCAGGTATTGAGTAAGGCGAAATATTCATTACGAGTGGCAAACACCACACTTGAACAATGTTCATTACCTTGCACGGTTGATAACCTGGTTCCAATGTTTTTCGATTCGAGAATAAGAAGATATCTTCGATTTTGGACTGGTATGGAGTTATCATTGCTGACGATAATGAATTAATTTCCATTCTTAAAATAATCGAGTCATTCGGTTATCATTTAAATTATATAGTTACTTTCATTGTTTTTCTGATACAAGGTAACTTGCTTTTATAGGTGCTTGGGCAGTTGCTTGTTTTGCGAGTTCACTATTCACGGTGCTAACGTTTCTGATCGATATGGCGCGTTTCCCATATCCAGTTCGACCGATCTTTTATTTGGCAATATGCTACATGTTCATTTCATTCGTTTATATGCTCGGTTTAGTGGCTGAAGACAAAATCTCGTGTGCAGCCATATCAGCTAGTAATACGCCACTTGTCACACAAGGAATTCACAGTTTTCCTTGTACTCTTGTTGCTGTTATACACTATTATTTTAGGTTAGTTCTAGTCGTATTGTTCCATTAATAATGTCGTTACCGTTTGGAGGATTATTGAGAAATGTCTTATTTTCAGTGTAGCAAGCAGTGTTTGGTGGGTGGTGTTGTGCGTAGCATGGTTTTTAGCAGCAAATTTGAAATGGGCTCAAGAGTCAATCGAGGCATTAGCTGCATATTTTCATGTGCTTGCATGGGGTATACCAGCATTCTTAACAATCATAGTTCTGATCGCAAACAGCATTGATGGTGATCTGTTCACAGGCATCTGCTCAGTTGGAAATCTGAAACCATCTGCGTTGTTCAACTTTGTTTTCATACCAATATTTACATGCATTGGTATGTGAATATCACTTCTACTCTCCATTTTCATTTATAAGTTTACCCCAAAAACCTAATGATTAACAGTTTCTGAAGTAAATTTTCATTCGTGATCATTACTGCTCTGCTTATTCCGTCAGTAAAATATTTCATCAGTACTTAAGCATGTGAATCCCTTGCAGTGGTGATTAGTTTTAATCTTATCTGTACAATATTTCATTCGCTGATTTCACTTCATCTTCCAAAAACTCGTATTTTAAATAAATATACGATTAATTTTAATGCATCAGTAAGCTATTTCAGCTCTTGGATTGTTGCTGTTGGGCTGTGGGATTGTTTCGATGTTACGCATACGACGTTACATAAAGTTCAAGCATAGTGATATCGATCAAAATATTCGCAAACTTGAAAAGTTGATGTTGCGTATCTGTGCGTTTGCATTCATGTACACACTGCCGACGATGGTTAGTGCAGCATGTGTTGCGTATGAAGCATTTATGATGGAAAATTGGATGGCCAATTGGTTAGCAATGCGATGCGCACGTTCTGATCGTACCACTTTCGGCTTTTCGTTGCCACGACAGACATGCGCACCAACTGAAAATATACGACCACCAGATTTGTTGATATATTTTTTTAAATATCTGATGCAATTAGTTGTTGGTATTACATGTGCTGTATGGGTTTGCAGTAGTAAAACCTTGAACAGCTATTCGCAAGCGTATGCTCGTATTGTGCATGGTCGATCGCAAGTACCAACTCGAGTACATTAACTCTTTCTTTTTGTTTATTCGATAGCAGAGTGTTCCTTTTATTGTTTGTTGCTTTGACTGATTACAGTATTTAGCGATATGTTGTCAATTTCGTCGTTCATTTTGGTTCTCAAGGATTACGACTGCTATCAACTAATTTTTGCGCTAGAAGATCGTTTTGGTTTTCTGTCAAAATTTCATGGCATAGATACGTACCATTGTTACTGTTGTAATTGTTGTTGTTATTGATTTTTCCGTATTGCTTTTTGTGTCTCTCTTTCTCAAGTCTAATTTTTTTTATTATGAATGAACTCATTTGTTTTTACGGCTAATAATTTCATTTTTCAGTTTGCTTGCTCTCTTTATTGCCCTCGGTCGTTTTGTGCGATTTAAGATGTTACTGGCAAGTTATTTTGATATCATTCTTGTTTTTGTTTTTCATAATAACTGAAGATTATAAAATGAGGATGAAGTGGGCTGTTAGTGTTTTGAAACTGATTCAGATCTACCTGTTGAATCAGATGGGAGAAGAGAAAAGTTATTACTTAGAGCGTTGATTTCTTAATTGATTAGCATTCATCGGGGGAAAAAAAGTCGAACGGAATATCCACCCAAAATTCATTTCGATGCATTTGTTGAACTGTTGAATTCTTGGTTCATTTCATTAATTTTCCTTTGCTTTAATGTTTGCTAATGTGTTATTGTCATTATTATTATTATTATTACTCACTATGTAATGTGCTTAATTTTTCTTTTGATCCCCGCGATGCCATTTAATGATTCCGTATTATTGTTTTTATTTCCATGTGCGTTTTAAGTGTTGTTTGTGACGTTTTCTGTATCAATTTTTGTTGTTCAACATTCATATGTATCGACATTTTAAGCAAACGATTTCTCCTTCTAATCTTCATCTGTTCATAAACTTAACGTTTCATTATTGACCATAGTTTAAACACCTCAAACTAATTATGAATTCTATGGTCCGTCCAGTTAATTGTATTGTTATCACGCGAAGCCAACCATGACACAATATTTTAATCTGTGCTCTGATATTGTGGCTTTATTATTATTGTTATCTTTGTGCATTTTTGTAACTTGTATATTTGTATGTGGCAGTTATTTGATGATGTAGAAATGTATTCAGCTATGCAACTAACTGTATTTTAAGTTAATCTTTCAATCGTTATCGATCACTTATCCACCTAAATCGCTACGAATTTCACTGAAATATTCCCCTGTTTCTCGCATGTATCTTTCAAAACAATTCGTAGACCTTTCAAGCCAAAAGTTTCAAAGGACGTACCCGTAGGAATTATTTGGTGGTCGTGAAAGGTGACTGTAGAAACGTTCGTCGAGATTAAATAAAACCGTCCGAAAATATCGGTTTTATTGTTGTCATCATGTTTCCTTAAATGCTTTTGCACCAATCGCTGGTGTACGATGTGTGTGGCCAATAGGGCGGACTATTCTGATAATCTTTTAATCGATCAATAATTAGACGTTTTAATCGTTTAATTAACGCTTTTTTGCTTACTGATCTAACTACTATATATTGCACTCGTAAACTAACAAGTAATCGTTTCATGTTACACTATTGTTATTCGTTGTTTTATTCTTCTTTTTGAGCGTTCAAAGAAGGATTTGTATGAATGACAATTAAATAAGTAGTAGTGTTATTATTGTATAGTTATGTTATTGCTTATCAGTGAATCGGTCAGCTTCATTGCGTTTCTGTTCGAAGAGGGTTGGAGATAGGGTAAATACTGAATGATTCAGCAATTCAAACAGTGGTTCTTTCTCTTCAGGATATCAAATTCTTGTCAAAAAATACTCAACTTTTGATAATGGCTTAGAATAGTTCAAACTGAATCGTTTGGGGTGATAAAGAGGTTGAAAGTTGCTCTTTCTCCATTCATCTGTCTTCACTGTGTATGGTTACGTTGATTTGCTTACTCAAAACTACATTTCTTATTGATGAATGTGATGGTATTTTTAGTGAATCAAATTCTGACTTCGCAAATCAACTGTCGGTTGTTTTCGATCGTAATCAGTCAGCAAAATTGAGTTGTTGTAAGCAAATTCAAAAAGTTATTGTTCAAATAAGTCGGTATCAATGAGATGAGATTTTCTTAAACTCATTGATTCAGAAATTCATCATAAGTGATGTAATGATCCGTGGATTTCACGTTCATTCACATCTGAAAGCGTAAACAGTAATTTCGATGATGTGTATCCATTATTATTGTCGTTATGTAACAAACAGATTTTCTGTACTTATGCCTCTTGTTAGGTGCTATATAATATTAATGCAAATTGAGACGTGCTATAGAGCTCGATTCAAGGTATGTTTGGTGCGTTCATGCAGGGTGTATCCTCTTGTCTCTCTCGCTGTTTTTTTTTCAGTTTCATTTGTCATTTTAACGTTTGTACATTTATATTTGTGGCTGTTATAATTAATATCATTGTTACTATTATCATTGTCATCATTATTATAACAAATCGAATAAAACCGCTCATTCGTTCAGTTTCTTTCTGATAGTGTCACAACTGATCACCTCGGAAGAAAGTTAATTTTTTCAACATTTTTCAAATTATTGTAAGCATGCTAAAAATTTTTGTAAAAACACTATTCAAACTGATGTAATGCACAAATCAAATTGTATTATTGTGTAATCTGCGGTGATAAGAGCAGTTCAACAAAAGGAAGTTATTATCAAGTACATGCAATGAATTACGAATATATGAGAACGACCATTTTCTGAAGATACTCGATCTACTATCTGTCTAATTGTAAGCTTATCATTGCCAAGATTGGCACGATTTTGTATGAATAAGTTCGAATGCAGAAAACATTCTCAGGAGGAGGTGCTGTCGGAGTTTAAGGTGGATAGACGAAATGGATAGTGTGAGATTAATGAGTAATAAATGAAAGAAGCAACGATGGGACCAACAAACTCAGAATGAGGGGGTCATTTGGATGGTGAAAGAAATTGTTTATAACTTTTGTTTGTTCGCCATTATCACATTCATAATGGAGATACAATATGAGAATATTATCAGTAAATAATAAACATCCTCAAATCTGTTCACATTTACTTCTACTATCAATAAAAGCAATTCACTGATTAATTTATAACAGATGTTTATCATATCCATGCTGAAAGCAAATCAAAATGAAAGAAAAAAATAAGCACGATCAAGTCAGTTGTTCAGTTAGTTACTTTCTGAAAGAAAGCTATAAAATACTCTTCACCTGATTTTGCAAAATAATTATCCGAATTATTGCAACAACGAAAATTTGTCACTTTTCGTTTCTTTTTTTTGTTCTATGGGGTCATTAGTTATGGATAATATAAATTGAAATCGTTGTTTACCTACGCTCTTCATAAACGCGTAGAACCCATTCGAAAATTATTCCTTTCATTAATTCCTATCTTCAATCATCATATAAAAATGAGAACAAAAGAAACAAGTGAACAAACTTCTAGAGTACGAAATGACCGCGAATAATTTATATCATTCCAAAATGAAACAAAAAGCATACACTGACATATACAAACGCACAATGAATGCTTTCAGATGCAATCATCAAATGATCGACCAAAACATTGTTTTTTGTTTATGAACATAATATATTCGCATGTTCATTTACACCGTTAAAGTCAATGAAATGAAATATGGAGCGTTAAAAGAGATGTTTCATTTGTATATTAACAAATGAAAAAAGAACACATTTTGAATTTGATGAATTGTTAGATTGTAAAATATTAATTTAAACGAAAGAGGAGAATATAATTGTTTTAATAATAGAAGTCATGGAAATCCTTCAAGATACTCTTCGATAAGCAACATGCAAAACATATTCCCACCACTTGTATTGCACCCACCAACGCGCTTATACCACCCACTAATGCAGCATTCACAATCAGCCAATGCTCGAGACGTGCCATGCAACCTAAAATTAATGTCCACTACCGTTTCCATGTCCATTACATACACAAGTTGAATCAAAAGAGAAAGCAAGAAGTATTCTTATTAATGCTAAACGATTCGATTCATCCCTTGTTTTGGGCACAGATAATTTAGAAGGAGGGAAAGCAAGCGACCTGCAAAGTAAATGAAGATAACCTGCTGGATGAAGATTTTGTTCAATACGTCCACAGCCAGGACTAAGATGCACACAACAGGAATCCGGTGGCGTTATCCAATCAGTGTGATTATGAACACCACAACACGCGAATTGAATCTGCGTCTGATCCCATGCCATCGTAACACCAGCGGATCGATTATAACGGCCTAGTCCAAGTGTCAGTTGCTGAGAAAGCGAAGCCTTAAATTATTGCGTTCGTTCGGCATATGCGTCTATATCCATGTTGTTGTCATATGAGAAACTTTGATTACTCTCAATTTGGAGAGCATTTTGAACGTGAAATCACTGCAATATAACAAGCACATCTGAACTGAGCCGAAACAATGTGTTAGTGTCCAATTGATTATGAGTTTGTAATTTAAAGGGTTCATCATTTTTTGAATTAACAGTAAGCGTTCACAACTTTGTGCCTTTCAAAGGAACCTAATCGTCAGATTGGTCATAAACTCGTCGAAATATAGTTAACAACTGCAAGAAATTACTGAGTTGCGTTGGTTTTGTAAATTTCAGATTATTATCACTATGTAAATAAGCAAAGGAAATCGGTTTCACTTGGATGCTCATCGTCCGTATCAACAACAATAAGTGTCAAAAACTAGTGCATGAATGAATCAAGAAAGTACGCGTGGACTGATTCATGCAGTAATCGAAAGACTTGTCACCTGAAGTGGTTCATGAAGCGCGTATGCAGCGATGGCAGCGGCAGTTTCAACGAGTAACACCAACGCGAGTAGAACCGCAAAGCTAACTGTTAAGCAATAATTCTCGCGAATCGCACCACAACAGCCCAAAAAACCAAGAAGTGCACATAATGCACCAGCTGTGAGTAAAAATATTGGTGTTGCTAATCGTTCATCGCCCAATATATCCAATAATCCAGTATATTTCAATTGTAACACCGCTCCAGCTATCACAAGTCCTAAACCACCAACCTGAAGAAAACGAAATACTGAGAAAAACAGCGACTGACCTTGACAAGTTCAGTGATACTGATATCATCAATGTTTTATCTGTTGCTTCGTTTCTCAGTAATAGTCACGCATGTGTTTGGTGGGAATTAGAAACTGTCTTCAGAAAATTGAAGTTGATATAAGATTACACTTCGAATATACCATTTTTTTCGAATCTTCTTTTCAATTTTTGGGAAAGAAAACTGGATGATATGTGGTTTAGAATATGTTTTAATCATAGTAGACTAAAACATGCACACAATATAGAACAAATTCGTTCATTCTGACAGCAGATTGCCACTTTCAAATAGATCCCCAGAGGACAAACTGAGAAGACGCTCAATGAAGTGTGACCGATTACTTGGTGCAAGCTGCTAAACTCAGATGCATATCATATTGTACAATCTTCTACTATTTACATTTATATTTGAATATTCATAACATTTGCACACTGTAGCCTAAACGATCGTTTGCAGTTAAGAAGCATATCCAGTTTCATTTGATACATCCGAACTGAACGGTCAGTTGCTTTCTAACAACGATATTCATTCATTTCAATAATTATCATAACATTTTAAGGGGTTGAGAGTAAATAAAGAAGTTTGCGCTAATTAAATATGTCTTTCATATTCATAAGTGCGTTAAAAGATACCAACTGTGATATCCTCAGAAATCAAATATAGTCAACTGCTTTGCACGTCGTCATTTGCTCTTCTCGTGTAATCATTTTAAAGAGAAATTGTAGAAGTATATAGACAAATGGTTATGAATGATCAACAGTGACGAATCACATAATAATGATAATAATAATATGAACACCGCAAAGCCCAAAATAAAAACCTTTTTCAGTACTTATCCTCATACAGCTCTTCGTCAACAAAATTAACCGTCCGTATCGCTCTACTGATAGCTTCCTAGGAGAATTCTCATGCTGAGAATTATGAGCGCAGAAACGAGTGAAGCGCAATAATTGTTTTCCAGAATGAATCATTGATGTAAGCTCATAATCGAAACATTATGGTGGGTATATAGTTAACAACTTACCCATAAAATGAAGTTTGTTAGGAAAAGAAGGTATTTAACGAGGGTGATGCCGCCTTCAACCATTGCACACAGATCGATTGCGGACAACAACTTAGCTTAAACGCACACAACATACATCGAAATCCATCACTGCATATATATCTTCTTCGTTTCAATCCTAGTTTCTTTCTCTAGCTTTATATGCATTTGGATGTGTCATCTAAAATGCGCATTGCCATCCCAAGACACCACATAAATCAGTCAGCTAACCAAACCCTCCATCCTCCTTCTAAAAAAAAGGAATGCCTCGTAATTTGTCCCTTCTTTCTATTTCGTTCTGTTCATTCATTCACTCTTTAATTCTGAGCTGCGTACATTTTCTTCGATCGTTTGACCTTTTCACACACCCTTCGCATCACTCCAGCAGAACAAACCAATACTTCATTTATCCTTTTGTTTTACAACTCCTGCTATCGATAATACCTATGAAAATTGAAGCAGTCAATAACCGTTCTTTTTAACATATTCGACACCCATCAAAAAGGAAATTTTGAGATTTGAGATTACAGATTCAACACAATCAACGCAACAAACGGTAACTTCAATGGATTACTCAATATTGAATGAACAAATGAATAAATAAATAAATAAATAAATAAATAAATAAATAAATAAATAAGTAAAATCGTTGAACAAATGAACAGCATTATCAAATACAGATACAAAAGCTCATTATAACTTGCTGATGATGGACATTTTCCAACGCCGTTCCTGTCTTGATTCATTCAAATTAAATGATCTAACAAGTTAGATCTACAAATGATCTACAAAATCGTTAAACGAATATTTTGAAAGTTTTCGAGAATTCGAATTTTCACACGATAATTTAATTGACAGACTGGTTCTTTGACCAGACGGTGAGTTGCACGAAAAAGAGGGAAAATAAAACAAAGATGCCCAAAAACGTCTATCTCATGTGTCTACGAGAATATTCGAGAGCTCGAAAAGAAAATAGAACATAAAATCAATGTCGGGAACTTCAATGGAACTTATATCATAACTTCACTGTAAAATCAGTGTAATAAACTGCTTAAATTATGAGCATCCGGTATGTCTAACATCATTTAGAAATTAGACAATTCATTGACATGTTTCTGATGTATGTATTTATTCAGTTATCTAATCGTGAAAAATCATTTGATGGATTTGCCATATTCCTTAAAGCTCAAAAAAGTTCAATAAAACCTTACCAGACCATTCATTTCATTGCACTTGATCAGTAGTAGATCAACAACACTTTCCGTTTTGGTTAGTAGTGCGTTTAAAGATAAGAATGGATAAATTTTTCGATTGGTTTGAGCACAAAACTTCAAGACAAATTCATTCTCAGCTTCTGGAAACTTACTCTTACTACGCAGTTCCATTCTTATTTTCAGATATAAATTTGAGAGAAGGCAGTCAAATTTCACTAAATTTCCAGGGGTACTTCAAGATATTCTTGAGAGTGTGTTTATTCGTTTCATTTCAATAGAAGCTTGCAGAGAATTGATTATTCATTTCGCTTTCATGAATTTGAAAGCGTTACAAGTAGCTTGTTACACTGTTGCTGTTGAAAGCATTCAGAAGTGCGAATGCAAGTGTTCCTATCAGAAACAAGACCAACAAATTCACACTTCGCCAGTTTTTTTTTCTGATTCTTTTGCTTTTTACTTCTCGAATACGATGAATCGACCATTCAATTTTAAATGAAACTTCTTCGAACAAGCATCTCAAGTATCGTAAAAAATTGCTTAATAAAGAGAAAATTCAAGTGAGATTACCACTCAAATTGAATTACTTATTGATTTATTTTTGTATTCATTTACCACTTACATTTATCCGAAATATTCAGTAGCTAAATAATCAAATGTTCAGCGAAATCGAAGAGGTAATGAGCGACATTTGTTCGAAATGTCTTGATCAAGTCAATTTCAGTGAACCGCCTTCTCTTAATCGATTAAATACAAACGCTATACGGGATTACATGTTATTGTTGTTTATTCACTCAGCGGCCTCATGCCAACATTCTTATACTAAATAATAACAACAACTATCACAAATTTCAAATCGCTTCCTTTTCGTCATGATATCCTGTTTCAGCTGAATTCACTATTATTGCATATCCACTAGAGCAACTTACAAAACCAATACCACTACATTACCCATATACGGATCTTATCACTTGAACATGATACGCACACATTTACGTACATGACCATCTTTTTTAATATGGATAAACCTGTCAATAGATCATGTAATGAACTGATTGTAACTTAAAATATCTTTTGATGAACTCCTACAAGCATTCTCCCGAACAGCCCTTTCCTTCCTAACCTGAATTCATTGATTAAGTACACTTATTCCACTCAAGATGCACAAAAATTTTGCAATGCATATCCTGCAAAAATATAAGTTCTCCTCTTGAATGCTTTGGCCTCTGAATTGAGAAATACATTTTTTTATTATAAGTACTGTTCAAATTATCTTTACAATTAATCATAATAAAATTTCAAACGAGACATAAAGCGATTTCAACTGTGAATAAGCACAGAAAGTATACATTACAACAGCACTGAACAGAACGAATCAGATGAATGACATTTTTATACATGACTGTCTTGAAATAACTTACCAGATTGAATAGTTCGGATGAGGCGTAGAAATATTCTCAGAATGTCTCCATCATAAAAAAACTATCTGTTTTGTTTTGAACGATCGAAACAGAAAATATTCACAATTAAAAATCCATGACTCATCCACTAATCAACTGGCAAATAAACTAAATTTCATCACATAGTTCAGAATTAGATCATTTTCAGTGCGACATTTTTGGTTTTGTTTTCGAATAAACAGATATCAGTGAATAAACTTTGCAATATATATCATACAAGATCGCTGTTGATATGTTTTGTTCCGAAAGCATACACATCTTTTACAAGGATTAATATAACACACAGTTTGGAGAAATAATTCTATGAAAAAAAAAAGAGAAAAGACAAAATTAAAAGGTATAAATACTTAATAATACCAATATTAAGGGGAAACGGCTAAAGAGAATTACGCAATTCATCAGATTACAGAAATAAACCGATGAAACCGAGCTACTACCGATCAGGTTGACACTGAAACTAAAGACCAGATTCATTCAAAATCGTATCAATCACAATAAAAGTTTTACACATTCGTGTGATGTTTTAGTTCATTTTTGAGGACAAGAATAAATGATATATGGATCAACTAATAAGAAAGAACTGATTAAAAATATGACATATGCAAATACTAAACTTGGTTACAGGCCAAATTTGGATGTCAAGATTCAGAAAATTTTCGGTAACCATTTTTACAATACGCAAATGTTTCTTAGAACTCAGAACAACTCGATTCAACAACAAACAATAAAGAACAAAAACGATGAAACATTATCATACAATCATTTCATTAACTCAATCTCGGCACGAGCAATTAATTATATAAGAATTGAATAATAAATCCGATAAGATAAGTAGAAATTAGTCTTCATACTAACAACTTAGAGTTGTTCTCAACAAAACGATTATGTGATCATCTGCACATTACTAGATGCAATCACAAATAAATAAACAACTTAAATCTAACAAATCAATCGACAATAAAGCACTTTTTCAATGAAAGTCCAAATATGCAAGCAAATATGATCTCTCTCCAAAAGAAAACCAAAATGAACACCAAAAAAAAAAACGATAACTACATACTAATTGGATTCAACTTTGAAAGACGGCAATAAAGATGATAAGGCCAACTAATTCTCGGTTATTATGATTTATAGCTGACATGAAACGTCAAAATTGAAAATATGAAAGCGGATGATATTTGACATTAAAAATTTCGGAGATCCAAAAAATCTGATGGTTCTTCGCTATTCGTTTACTTTCATTGATGATTATTATTTATCTAATTTAACTTTGTTTCTACATTTTAAATATTTTCTTCTCACCCACAACGAGTTGCAATCCAACAACCAAGAAAGCTAAAAAAAGAAACTTTATAAATGAAATTCTGAAGAAAGACCGAGGCACTTATTCAGGTATGAGATTGACTGATTATACTCTTATATGAGAGAACCTTCTGGCTACCTTATATTCCATTATATTAAATTGGGATTTTGGATACAGTATCTGCTTTACGAAAAAGGACCATAAAGCATTTGAACAATGCTGTATGCTGATACTACATAAATGAATAAGTAAACAAATGAAGATCATCTTAATTAATGAAACGAAAAAAAAAACAAATCGACCAAAAAGTAAAAAAAAAACTAAAAACGACTGTACTAAAGTGAACAATAATAAGTGACCTTTTTTTGAATCATTCGAATGATCACAAATAAAATTTAATAAATATGAATTTGTTACAGACTCCTGATCACTGAATTACTTCTAGTATAAATTCAACTCTGATTGAGATTTAATTGGCATCTAACTTATAAGGAACAAATATACAAGAGCGATTAACATAGTAAACATGGATAGAAATAAATTAACCGAAATGAAAAATCAATCATCTACATAACAGTAAACTTTCATCGTTTCGATCGATTATTTAATGACAATAATTCTCAGTGTACATACATCAATTATTCATTTCCAGGATCAATAAACATTTAAAAAACTTCCAATACATCACAGCAGTTTTCGAAGAATTCGTATTGCTGTGAAGAAAAGCCAATCGCACAATGACAGAAATTTATTAATCGAAATACGATTAGGAATCATTCATCTGCATAATATCGCTATTATGATGATTTTGGGTGTATGAAAATGTTTCGGTTGCAGCCACTGTCGAATTCTCAGCTCTAGTTGCAGTGCGATGTGTTGTATTCATTGTTGGAGTGATATTATCAGTAGTAGAATTAGACGTATCATTTAGATGTGTTGTTAGTGGTAGTTTTGGTAATATTGAATAAGACAGAGCATGATTGGAGGTGGGTATAGACGTGCATGAAGAGGATACTCGAGATGATTCGGGAAATGTCGGTTGAGTGGAAGTTAAATAAAGATGGTGCTTAGAAATGTATTCCAAAACGTTATCATCAACGCAATACTTAACCGACTGACCACAACGAATCGCATTTCGTATGCGAGTTGAACTGACTTCATTCGGCATGACGTCGTCATCAAAAATGCAAATATTCGAATGAAATTTCGGTGAGATAAACGGTAAACTCTCGATTGTTTTCATGGGATTCGACTTACCACGTGACAACACCACCAGTCCTAAAATTCCCATGTTCATTCGAGAACCAGCCTAATGATACGGCTTCTATGTTTTTCTTTATCACCAACTGCATTTATTTTGCTGCTTACTACTGGTTGCATTTCAGTATATTGTTTCCTCTTCGGAGTGAAAAACCTTATGAAGAACTACGCTTGTCACAAGAGGGTTAAAGCTTGAAACATCAACGGAGTTAAGCTTAGCGGTCATTTTATTGAGCGGATCAGTAGTTGGTGCACGATTGGGTTTGAGGAATTTGGTAATCGGTGGGTCTCTTCTGATCTCCGGAACATTTATTTCGTTGCAGAATATTGTACTGCGCTCTAAATTTAAATGTACAAATAATTCTTTCGTGTACGATCCCTTTGATTTTTTAATTTCAGCGTACGAATTACATTACAGTTTTATTGGTTTTCTGAACAGAAAATGTTCCCAACAGCGAGAACGATTACCGCTTTGTTCGTGTTTAATATGTCTAAGCGATCTTGCATTGTTTGAATGCATATTTTAAGGATGCATGCGAAATTGATGGACCGTAATAAAAAGCAACGGTAATGACGCAACATGAAGCAAGAGTTGTGAGATTGCGAAATTTTTGGACACTGTTAAGTAAAAAACGAAAGCCGAGATGGCGTCATTATAGAAAGATTTATTCTTTCGTTACCGACTGGGTGATAAACAACAAATATTATTGCATATGAATGAGCTGGGAATAATCAGTGCGCAGGTCGAGATGAGTATAGTGCTAAAATCATACAAAATGCCTTGTTCCATCAAATCCCGAAATCTCGGAATTTTTCAGAACCTATATCCCGGGATCGGGATTGAAAAGTTGGGTTCCCGAGCAAACTCTAGCACTGATAAGCTTATGGTTTTAAAGTTGCTCTCACAATAGACTGGATTGTAAAAATGAGAAAGAATTTGCCTAAAAATGAATCAGGCAGAAGAATTAATGAAGGAACAGTTGAAACTCACCAAAATCACGAATAATTTCCAACAGATCGGATGGTTCCCACAGTTTCGTACCTTTCGATGTGGTAACCGTAAACGTGTCAACAAAATCACCACCACATAGTAACATCACTCGAATTGGTCTCATGTGAGGGAATTTTCGATCGAATATCTCTTTGAAATGCTTGAGAACACGTAACGTTCTAGTCCATTGCTTTTGTGAACATTCCCAGCTATCCGCATAGATCCATTTTGAACTTTTTACAGCCAATTCAGCCATTCGCATTCTTCAAATTTCATTAGTACTATGTAAAATAAATTTCAAAGATAGATCCAACTGCATTCGTTTCATTACAATTTACACACCGGAAAATTTTTCAAAAACTGCTCCGATTTTTCGTTTCTACATGCTCCGATTTCTACATTTTCTACGCGCAAATGGAATGGAAATATAATGATAAGTAAGATACATAATGCTCAGCAATGTCCAAATACCAAGAATGATTTGTGGAAATGCAATAATTCATACAATGAATTTTCAAAATGCTTATTGACTGCCTCTTATCACAAGCTCAGTAACTGCAAAATACGGAATCTTTTGGGCCATGTGCACTGAAACGTGTTGAACGGAACTGTTATAGGGCACTCCTCAAATGTGTTTGCTATGGTCAATCCGCTCTTCTGATGATTCACGAAATAAATTGAGTAACTGCTCGTTTTAGCTGATCAAGTACAAAATTTGCTTATAGAAATGATAAACGGCAAAATACAGATTCAGTGATGGCAAGAAAGTTATCGAAAATTAGATGGTTCGAATTCTATTTTGATTGTCGGTATATTAGGGGCTTTTTTGGAAAGCTTGCTGGCATAACCAATAATACCTGTGTTTTGCAGGCAAAAGATCTGGCTTAGCAAAGCAGTCTGCAACCGGGCTGATTACACCTTCAATAACCTTACAACCGTATCGACATTCCAAGAAGCTTTTCGCTGCCTCGAACATTCGTAAATGCATCACCGTTGGTGGATTATATGAGCCGCATGCGATAAGGGTCACATATGCCCCTTCCAAAAAAGCGTTCATCGTTATTTGTTGGACATATATTAAGAGGTACGGAAGATATCTGTAAAGAAGATATTTATTGATTTATTCATTCATTTCAATAGCAATAAACATTCTTATCGCGACGTTTCATTGGTTAAACTTGTAGATTGAATAGGAACAACGAATTTGCACTGCAAAATGATGTATATTTCGTTTGGTTTTAACTAAATGAATTTCTACACAAAATAAATAACCTTTTTGAATATATAATGACTTAGTGATGAAACTTCTTCTCTTGAAGCGATAGGAAAACTGATAGTACTGATCTCATTAACGTATCTTGAGCTCGACTCCACGAAGTATTCTTGTCGAAAAACCCAAGGTTATACTTAAGCCTAATTATAAGCATAAGCAAGTTTGAACATAAGCTCAAGCCTCAGCCAAAGTAATTTGCGACCAAAGCTTGAGCATCAAGAAGTTTTAACTGAAGGTTAATCGGGGTCTTTTCAAGGTTAATGGAAGCAGGGTCAAAGAAAATTTTAAAAAAGATTGCTGTTTTCATTTGAGGTAACACAAGGTGCCCATGTTTATTGGCAGAATTGCAGGTAAATAAAAGAACAAATAACATGTGACAAAATAGCGGATGATACATTCTATACGAATATCAAACAGTAAATATGATAATTTATTCGTCGATTTGCATAAAATAAATTAATTAATGAACCATTAACTAGGAAGGGGTATAAGTTTACCAGGATGGGATACATAACATTTTGCATGTCTCATCGAACAAACTGAGAATTTATTTCCAGAATCTACAGAATGCTTAACGGACGAAAGAAGTAGAGATGAAATGTGAAGCAGTGATTAAAAAATCGTCGTAAGTGTTGCTGCTGATCGTTCGTACGCGTTTGTAGAGCACTAAACCTACTGCTTCCAGGACGCTTGTTTGATGAGTCAATCAGTATTTTTAGTGAAACTACCAATTTTTTGAATGGAAATTTGGCATTTCAACTTTGAAAGCTAAGAAAATGGTCACCACGAATTCCGATCAATCACCAATGAAATGACGAAATACTTAATGACCGTGCACAACGAATTTATTCGATGAATGAACATTTGAAAATGAAATCAATAAAAATGAGCGGTCAGTCGGAATAAATGAAAAGCGCTCAGCGAAGGCTTTTGAAAATCAGCGACGATTGAGAATGAATAACGAAAAAACGTGAACTATTCAAAGGAGTGAAACAAAGAACTAAAAAAATATAACGAATATTTTGAGCGCTGAAGAAGTAAAATAAACGAATAATGTGTTGAGTTCGTTCTAGAAACCAGCCTAACTCGCTCCAATACTACAGCCATACACGTCAATACGTCAGTATGCATTTGTATATCATAAATGGATTTAAAGGACGCTCTCTCTGTGCGAATACAGCACTGGTCAGAAATACAACAAAACATCATTTCATTACAAACCGTCAAATCTTTTTAATGCATCGATCGAAATTAGCTGAATAGCGATATTAATTTTCTTACATTGTAACCATATGAAGCATAACAGATTTAAATTCAGATAACAAGAACGACGAAAACAAACGGAACTTCTTTCCCTTTGAAAACTATTACCGTTTACTCAATCAACCAAAGAAAGCACTCACTGAAATTATGCTTTTACTTTTATGTCAGCACGGGCTGGTATATGTCTCGAAATAACTCAAGTAAATTATGCCAGTGAAAAATAATCGTCAAATCATACACATTTCACGATAAGTATTGTCAAAAAGGTGTGGTTAAATCAGTGTTGATTCGATGTGCCAACTGAACCCATCACATACTACTGAATGCACTATTATATCTAACAAAAATAAACTAAAAAAATAAAAATGTAAGACAATTATTGTATGACGCAGCGTACAGTATGGTATTTCAACGTTCAGCGGATCAAATAATTTAGCGGATTTCGGAAGCACGAAAAATGAAGTGAATTCAGGATGATGACTATGATAAAACATGAAAGTTGTGCTAATAGAACGATCGAACATCTAAATCTATAAATATTGCTAATCATTCACGACCCATTTCAAAAGTTTCAACAGTAAAGAACTTCAGTTACGATATTATGCAAAAATTTTCTGAATAATTGTAGGGATGGTATATGCTTGCGGAGGAATGCAGTGGAGGAAGGGGGTTGGAATCAGGGCTTTATATCTTTCTCTTCACTTGACTGAAACTGAATATGTCCTCGATACAGATACAATTTTTACATCAGTCATTACTGTTGTTTACCATGCAGTGATGTACTGTACTTTCTTTATGTACTGCATTTCCGATGTGTATACTGTATTTTCTCAAATAATTCGCCCCTTTAATACATCTTTTTATTACGCTTAAACCTCCCCAGAAGCAATCGGAAAATCTATATTTTTCTCTTAATGGAGCCCCTCAAATGCTCTATATTTGGAAACAAAGTTTATTCGCTCACGCTATGAAGGTCATACATTATAAAGAGATTTTTTACCAGAAATAAGCTTAAAACGTTTCTCCAAAATAGTTTAAGCAATCGTAGAAAATTGGTTAAATAAGGTACTCGTCTTATTTGCGTTTCTCTTCACTGTGTTCAGCAACCCCTTTTCAAACATTAACATTCAAAGAAATCTACATCTTCCGTCCTAATAGAGCCTTTCATCTTGAACAGATCTTGCGTTCATAAACTAGATCAAATTGCACTGCCGTCGGTTCTCAATCAGATGAATGCGATAGTTCCCATCCATTCCCATCGACATTCATTAGGTTACTTTAAAAAATGTCCTACAGCTAGTGGAGTAGCGAGGATTTTTTCCACTGTAGGATGGGGGAGGAAGAGACGCTCGCCTTTTGTGCCCCCTTTTCAATATGTCACTGCGTACTGCTATTTGAAAATGATTCGGAAACTCAAAATTGAAATTTTACGATAATACAAGTGGCATTTATAAAAGAGCTCTTTTAGAGGTTACAAGATTGCACGACATTTTTGATGAATAGCAATGCGTTAATATTTTTGCATCGTTGAATTGGTATAATTCCCAAATGATAGACAAAATGTGTTCAGATTTGCTGGAGACATTCACAAAAATATGCCTTCATAATATTTACTTCGTTCCTTTCACATCAAGAATTCTAACCGAATTTCAGCTTTAGTTTCATTCAAACTTCGAGATGAAATTGCACACTCAGATCTTTTCACATATTTTGTTTTCATCCATGTTCATTTTGTCTTACTTGTGCTGACATTTTCTGATGGATGGATAGGAAAATAACAAGAATTTTTTGATGGGAAGAAAAAAGCAAAAACATAATGCATACTTCCTTTTTTCATATTACACCAAATTTGTTGAAATTCAGAACAATAGCTTCATCTGTCATTTATTCTGAAGCAAATCTGCATTAAGGTTTGCAAAATCCTGACCATTTTATCAACCCCGGGATCGGGAATTGATCCCGGGATCGTTTTCAACCCCGAGACGATCACGAGATTGAAAAGCAACTTTTGAAGTATACAAGTGTGACGTGTTCAACATTCTTTTTGAACTGATATGTTCATAATTAATCAGAAAACAGTTTATTCAACAAATCATTCAATGAAGCTCTACAAATTCAATGAATTCAACAAAACAAAACAACTGAAACAAAATCGTGATGAAATTAATAATAATTGTGACGAAAACAGTAGACTTAAGACTGATGTAACAACAACATATTCAAAAAACAAAATTCAGTGAGAGATGAAATAAGCCTCCGGAAATGTTAGAGAAATGCGGAGAAGGCCCGCTCACTTTCGACAGTTGTCGATGGGATCGTTTCAATTAAGTTGTACAATTTTTGCATATTCGCCGCCCTTTCCTTCATCACTTGGAACGAATACATTTCAGGAATTACTTTGCTGTTCGCGTCATTGCTTTTTTCACAGATTACGGAATCTTGGGATTCATGATCAATTCTATTTTATTGGAGAAAGCAATATCGTGTTCACTCTCGTCCTTGTTACCATCGATGAGTTGGAATTTGGCTTATCATCATTTTTACTGCTCGCACCGAACAACCTCGAAGATAAATTCACTGTTAGTTCCACAATATTTTCTTTCATAATCTTAAACCCCATATAATCTGTTTCCTTCTGAACGTAATCAGGATAGTTCATATATCTCATCAATTGAATTGAAGTTGGTATTTTGCGCTCGTTATTCCTCATCAGAAGTGAACTCACTAAGTGAACTCACATTCCCATGAGCCCTGTAAACATGAATCCCGGGATCGAGATCGGGATTCAGAAGCCAGGATTCGGGATTATCAGGATCCTGTGCAAACACTAATCTGCATTCTTGCTTGCGTTTACTGAAATTGAGACTTCGACGATTAAAAAATTAGCCTGATGGGATTGTGACGCTTATTGAAGCAATAGACGATTACACGCTTTGATTTATATGAACCGATAATCTCATGATGATGATAAGAGCGATGTTCAAAGCTGATAAACGAACGTTTCTTTTCATTCTTGCTTCACTGACGATATTCAATGATGCTTATACGGTAAAACGAAAACTGAACAAAAACTTTTAGCTCAGGCATCAATGCAACCTTCCATCAAGTTTTCTTGACAATATCCAATCGGAATGAAACTATGATCTACGAAAGATAATAGAAAATGCCATTTGCAATCAAAATGATCACTGTTCAATGCAATCAATCAAACGCATGGTGATGCTTGTCGATGCTACATCAATGATAAGGTGAACATTAAAAAAAGGCGGTTTCGAACGTAAACAAATGTAAGCAATTCCCTGAAGTATTAATAGAGTTATCTATTCATTCGGTTGTTGATTGTCCAAGAAATGCCCTTGAATATGCGTCTATCCATCAATCCATCCAACCATCCGAATATGAATCTCTTCACCACTTGTGAACATTCACCTACCAATAATTAAAATCGATCAACCGATAGTGATAATTTATAAACTTCCATGAAATGACCAGTTCCACTTCATTCTGCTTTCATTACCATCTACCTTATTCATCTCATAAGTAATGTCGGAACAAACATTCACAAATTCCATTCTAATCCCTACACTTTGAATTTTCAGTGCTCTCTCTTCTGGAAGTTACCTCTTAATTTGTTTCTTCTTTTGATTGCGAGTGAATCGTAAGTTTTAAAAAAAATGTAAGTGATGGATATGTATATGTTATTATTTTATATAACGCTTTTTATTCAACCATCGCAGCCTACCAGTTGTTTTATTATCCTTTCGTTTCATTTTTTCAATACTTATTTAGCAGTCATGTTTAGTATGATACGTATTAATGAAACTCTGATGCATTTGATACAGTAGATAACCAAGAAACAATTGTTGTTTAGACCGAGTAAATCCGTTGAGGAATAATCGGACTTCGTTGTGGTCTTATGACAATAATGAATGATTTCAGTTTCGCTCTTGATTTCTTTCGGCAATGAATTCCCAGCGGAATTATCTCATTTCAGAACGTTGAATAAACCACTACTACATAAAAAGCATATGCGACGTCTTTGCCGAACTGATGTAAATGAGAAAACATTTAAAAACATTTGACAATAGATGAAAAATACTTTGTACGCCTCTCATTTCATATCGCTCTTGCGTTTGTTCTTTACAAGTGGATACAATCCACTTCTTGAGAATGTTTCATCAAATTGCGTATTTGTATTAATCAACAAGCACATATTCATCTATTCTATTCATTCATCCGTCTGTATTCAACTCTAGCAGACTTTCACAAAGGTTGTCATATATAATGCTCAGTTTATTGCTCTTCGAAGGTTTGTGCCGTCTTTAATGTTGGTTATTTGTTGGGGATAAACAATTTACATGCGTATTCGAAATGTTCGCGGTAAACACAGATGATTAGTTCGGATTATTTATGAATTACGCCATTGAATCTCATTCAATTTTTGATGCTTCCCTTAATCAACTGAATCAGGGCGCCTTCTCATCATTACGGAACGTTATTTGAGTGAACGTCACATTTGTTAGCATCATCCTTGAGTCGGAAATTAGCTGTTTCATTCGGAAAACAAACTACTGTTGAGGGCATGAAACAATCAAAGGAATTAACATTCATAACGATCAGATTATTCGTTTAAAGTCGATCTTTGATTCATTTGATGCCTTGAATCACCATTTTCTAAATAGATTGTCCATCATAATTGTCTACGATATTCTCACTTCAATGAATTAATGACCAACTGACAGATAGATCACCGTTATCGATCAAAGTATCGATGAACTGAGAATTGAATGAATTCAAGAGATCGACGAAATGAACGAAAGACGGCGTACTCGAGGTCGTGAGACACACATCGAGATTGGTCGCGAACTGATCGATTCTGCCGAAGGTACATCGGTAATGCTGAACGTCGGAAGGGCGATTCTCGCTCGAACACTCTTCATTGTGCATTCAATAGCAACTATCTCACAAACTGTTCATGTAAGTAACGTTTGTATTAGCGTCAGAAATAATAACAGTTTATTATTATTATTGGTATGATAAGAATTATAATGATCATAAGTGACACTAAATGCTTTATGATATAACTTTAAATCTTCAAATAACATATCATATCACTGATTCGTTCTCTATGTTAACGAAAATTAAAAGGAACTGCTTCGATGGCACTGAATTAAGTCAAATAGATATTACCATAACTAATTTGATTAATTTTTTGTGACTGCAGATGGAAGGACGCAATTCAGTATGGGCTTTCGCACTGATTGCGATTGCGATTTTGTTCGAAGGTGCACACACAATAGTGATGAGAGCTGGCGATGAACGTAAATGGTAGGATGATATATTATCGATGGTGTGTAATATAACTTTAATGACAAATATTCTAATAAAATCGAAACCATTATCTAAGCCAGTGGTTCTCACGTTCGGGTGCTCCATTAACCCTTTTGATGATCTGGCAAGCCGTCGTAATCCCCTTCCCCTCCACTGATACAAGAACTTACTATTTCTACGTATAACGTCAGAAACAAACGGAAAACCGGTCCGGAAATTTCTCAGCGGCATGAAAGAAATTAGTTTTCTGTAATTAAACAAGTATTTTTAGAACTTTATTTACACATTGCAGAAACAATATGAACCTCGGCAATCAAATAAGAAAAATCAATCATCTCATTCATAAGTATGGGAAACAATTTTCGCTGTAGAATCCCAAAGCAGAATGACCACATGGTACACATTTGTCATGAAACAGATGCCTATGACACGATTGAGCAGTTACTTCATTCACAGAAATTCATTCACGAACCAAAAATCCCATTAGATGCAGTAATTAAAAAACTTAGCAAGCCTTTTCAGTGCAACCAAATAATAGTAATGCATGAATTCAGAAATACTCGATCGTCCCACACCAAACCAATGATCTTTTCTGTCGTATCAAACAGTTCAGTCAATTCTCACTGTTCGTGAGAGACGATGTCAGCCAATATATTGAAGAACTTACGAAACAATTGTGACTACTTCAGACTGACTTTTTTCAGGCCTAGGAGAGCTAGAGATACTCAGGAAATAGGATAAAGAAGAGGGTTTTCATGAGCGTTTAGATATCCGAGTGAAAAAAACACCATCACAATGGCGTTCTATCATAAACTAACAATTGCACGAAATACTAATTTCCCGACCCCTCCATTTCCTCTTGACACCTTCTAATTACTCAAAATGGGCAATTTCACCCCATACGAGAACCATTGAGACAACGCATTAAACGCTTTAATGTTCGTTTTGCAAGAGGAACAATTGCGTGAAATGCTATACAGGTTTTGTCCATCCGTACTGCTATACATAACTGCAACCGCACCACCAATTTGGCTACTCGAAAGAAAGCTATGTGAATGGCGAATGGCTGCAGATAAGGGAGTGATGGCTGAAGAAGAATTTCAATTGCAGCTTCTGGAGCAACTTCTTCTTGTTGTACTTATAATCGGTCGTTGGCTGCTACCGAAAGGTGACATTTCTCGCGAGCAACTCTCACAGATACTACTTGCATATTTGGTGAGCGACAAATTCCTCTCGAAAATATTTATTTCGAATAGCATTTTAATAGAAATTCAGTTGTTTTGCATACAGTATTACCCCATGATACGGGTCACATTCTTCGAAAATACACCTCCTTATAGTCATCCAATGATAAGTCCACCAACGAGTTCTTCTTTCATTTTGCTCATTTCCCAACAACAAACAGTGTTTCAGGCCATCTCGAGTGATATCGTTGAATTTTTCAATGTTTTCAAAGAAAAAGTCGTTTGGAGTAGTTCATTTGTACAGCATGTCATACTTGGAGCATGGACAGTAAGCTATTCAAGCATTAATCGTTGTCTTCTGAAATGAGGTTGACCTATGAAATTAAGAAGTTGATCTCCGAGCAATCGAAAATGTTTAGTGAATGAATCCGAAATGCAGTGAATATAATTGTTTATTTGCGGTGAACAGCCACTCACAATCAGTATTGGTAGTCATCAACCATCGAAATAAAACTGATCAAACGACAAATAAAATCAATTAAATGCAAAACAAAGCGAGTGAGCTGTTTTGAAGGAATCTGTGCCTCACTTATACAAAAAACGGGGCAAGTTGCAATATACTTGCATAAACTGCTTTAAAGTGCATCATGTGAGTGGTAACATTATATACATCCTGGGATACAATTAGGCTAATATAATTGGAATTAATTGGAATCTTTTGCATAGTAATCAGACAAATTCCTATAGTTTTGTTCAAGATGTAAATGAGCATTCAATCGGAGAATCTGATTATGAGATTAAGAAGAACAATAAGAATCGGATCACTGTGAAATTATGAAGAATTTTTCATCGGTAAGAAAGCTAGAATGAATCTCTATTCAGTATCTGGGCTCGTCGGGTCTCAGAAGCACGGATGATGACAAAGAAAATAGGAAATAAACTGAAAAAATATTTTACAAAAGACAGTTATGTTACAGTTAAGTTTGCTGCAATTTCCATTCGTGTTGACCGTCAGTCGTGCCCGCAAAATGCGAGTCGCAGTCACAAAGAACTTCGATGAACTTCTCGTTGAATCAAGAAGACCCGATCCATGCAATGTGTATATTTATATACCTTTCATTTACATGACAGTGTTGTGAGCGATATGTCATCTCACACTTACTTATCGCAACCATCAAGCAAATATGCGTGTCCAGTCATTCAGCCTAATGCCACGAGAATATTAGCTGCAAGCATGCAGGAATTGTCCGAATCTCTTGACCCTTATCCCGGAGTTGTTTACTTCGTAATCTAGTTACAGAATACTCCTAGATTAAATATTGTTTGTTTTCTTGCTTTTATTGAGCATGCATTATATACATGTTTTTCTTGGCTTTAGATATATAAGACTAATTCAGAAAATTAGTGATCTTTCCTTGTGAAGTTTATGCTTAAGCCCAGGATGAGGTTGATGTTTAGGCCTAGACTGAGGTTTATCTCTAGACCGCGATCGAACCTCTGGTAATGCTTTGGCTGTCCATGGATAGGAGTTCTCTTCTTGAAGCATTCGTTAGGCGAACTGTCCATTAGGCGAAATGTCGTTAGTCGGATTGACTTAACGCCGAAAATATGCATCGCATATTTGAATCACATCACTGCTTTTGTATGCTTACAATCACAGGGATGGTTATATTTTTGATGTATTCAAAATGAATAACCGCATGCTACGACTGGCTTTAGGTGCTTTATGATGTGGACATTTGGGCTATAATCTTGGCAAATTCGCTCCAAGATGTGCCATTCTTATCGGTTCGTCTTTATTTGATGTTTGACCGAGGCTTGATTACTTACACGATGATCTTCTTCACATGCAAAAATGCACTAATCATCGCTCTGCAAACCTATCGGTTGGTTTTTTTTTTTTTCACAACAGCAACGAACTCATTATGACGAGTGTAACGAATGCGAAAGATAAACATCAATATGTCGAATTGTGAAGGCAAAGATACTAGAATTATGACGTGCATACAATCACTTCAGCGCATTTGTACTCTTCAACGATCGTTATTTGCATCCACATGTGACTACTATAAACGCACCAGTGAAACGCACACGACGAACAACGCGAAGACGTATTAAATCAGAATCTAAAGATGGATATCAACCAATTTCTCGGTCAAAGTAGACGAACGATGCACAACAATCCACTGGGAACAACATCTCCACCAGTTTTTTTTTAAAATCTACCTCCACTGCAAATATGCAAATGAAATTTACTGATATTCCACTGAGCCATATTCTCTGTTCGCGTTTACACTATTACATGGTCATTAACGGGAATTTAAAATTTAATTCCCTTTCAAAGAACGCTCTTTATTATTCTAATAAACATTATTGATAACGTCAACAGGCAACCTTTCAAATTCACTTCACACTCTGCTGAAGCTATTGAATTCTTGATAAAAGCTATTATGAATAAGAATCACTCATTCACTGCAAAAAAAGGACATTTTAAAATAGTTTTTCAGTGATTTTTTTTTGTAATTTTTCATAGAAGGTTCGATGATATTCGTTAAAATTAAAAAAAAAAAAACGAAAATGGAAAGAACGGCATCAATAACGATTAGCAATGCAAAACACTCAAAGTGTACGGACGTTCATTTATTTATTTCAGCCATCAGCAAGTAGGTTTGGCCGCGGGCCGAAATTTTTCCGAGCAACTGACTGACGGGCCGCCGTATATATAT